CCCCAAAACCCCAAAACCCCATGAGACTAATATATCTCTAGTAAATTATCAAAATGAATAATTAAGTTATAAAAGTAGATTTTAATAATCATCAATATAATAAGAAATATTTCTTTTCTAGCTTTATTTGATTTTCCAAATTGAGTCAGAAAGTTCAAACTGCTTGCCCACATTGAATGCAATCTTTGGATCTCTTTTAATGAGCAGAAATGCAATAGTCATGATAAATATGTCGACATTTAAGTTCGACGGTTCCTTACAAACTTTCAAGTTTTTTCTCACACAGAGAACAGGACAAGAAATTTTTGTTGATTTCCCCAACTTTTTTCTCTTCTAATTGGACTGGTTTTTTTTCACATTCCATAAGTTGATTGATATGATTTTAAGGCATACTAGGCTTAATATCTTTTAAGCTTTTAATGAGAACTTTAGCAACTTAATAGATATAGACTCCACTTTAGAACCACAATGAGGTATTTTTATCAACTTATTTCACATTTACCAAGCTTTTTATTATTGTAGGATTTAAATATCTATTGGGCTTATTTTAATTATCACCTGTTGAATTAGTTTGAGGGTTACAAATATCATTCAAATACTTCTAAACAGGAGGAGAATTGGCTATGGAGTTAAAAATTTCAATAACTATTTATTCTGGGTTTTCTTTAAATTTCTTGTATATTAAACCAATTAGTGGCGAAAGGTATTTTACTGCATTATTTTATAAAAATGAAAAAGCCTGGACTGATATGTTTTTTCCCTTAGATATCAATTTCTGAAAAAAATTCTATTAATTTTCTATATCTACTAGATTTGAAATTTGATCTTAATTACTGGGTAATTTTTCTTCTTCATCTTAATATTAGCGATTACTAAATTTACTAATTTAAGTAAACTTAGAATTTTAGGCTTGCTCTCCAGTTTCAGTTTCAACTAAAAATTGACCCTTTTCTTCTTCCTCTAATACATGGCAAAAAATATGATCGTCGTACTCTTCAAAGTAAATTTAGATTTTGCAAATTTCACATTTGATCTATTGTTGTTCAGCTATGTCTTGCGAATAATCATTTTCAGTTGGAGGATTTAAGGTAAGATCAATCTTATTGTAATCAAATTTTTCTTTAGGTTATTTCTTCTCTTGATATGAATTAAATTATGCCTTTAGTTACTACTCATCAATTGGGTTGATTGAAATTTATTTAATATCATGAATGATTTATTTCAATATCTCTTACTATCCAGTTTAGCTTGTATTAAGCTAACTATTATTGTAATTCAAGTGTTAATTTGATAAATAGTTATTTAGTATCGATAAACAATTAGCATTTTCGATTTTAAAAGGTATAATTATGGTGTTTACAGCCTAACTATTTTTTTCATTAGACTTTAAATTAATTGTCTTTTAATACTAATCAATGACATTCATTAAGGGCTATAATACAAAAATCATATTTTCAGATAACTTGTCTTATACTCCACAATCTGGACAGTTATCTAAAAAGCTTAGTAAATCGATCTTTACTATTTTAAATCCTTCTTTGTTTCCGTGAGATAGACAATCTTGAACTACGTTTTCAAATGTCAATTAGAGTTATTCAATTATATCAAAAGCTACATAGCAAGTTTAAAGATATTTGTGAGGTAATTAAGAAAATATTCCCTTCTTATTTTCCAATAAGATTAAGCATTATTTATCACCTTCGGACTATTTGAATGTTATCAAGCTATCGCAGGGAAGCTATTCATTAGACTCACTCATTACAATTTTTAAGGTTATATTTTCAAAAGTATAGATGAATTCTTGAAGTTTGTTAATTTTATCCTCACTTTGATTAATAGCTATTATTTGTGGATACTTTGATTCTGTAAAGGAAGTTTAATTATAATCTTCGAGGTGATTATATATTTTTTGATTATCAAGTTAATGTTCCAGCTGTGAAATTATTAGACACTATTGTAGGATTTCATCATCTGAAAGTTTGTGAGAATTATATTCTAACTCATTTATTGTTTACTCCAAATTTGTATCAAAGCTGCTTTTATTCTGTTCTTCATCTTTTTCCTCTACCTCAGAGATAAAGACTTCTATTACATTTTCAGCTTGGAAAATATTTTTCCTACCAAAGTTTTAATGACCAAAATAATTTATATTGTTCTTGTACTTACTAATCAAATTAATGTGGAGCATCTTTAATTCATTAAAACCTTTTTTCAATATCAGAATGAGCCAATTTGTATTGCTAACCATTAATTTCAGACATGGTTGTTTGTATTTTGATCAATTTTAATAATTAATGCACTTAATTTTGATCAATTTTCAATGATGGGGTTTTGGGGTTTTGGGGTTTTGGGGAGATCGGAAGAGCGTCGTGTAGGG